TTATACATTTCAGATTGACGAGCTTGGTGGAAGGCATGATGGCGGATGGCAGTGACTATTACCCTATGTAATATATGTTTAATCATGTTCTTTTACAGATTAGGTTGGACCAGTAGTTTTAGTGTTCCGTTTAAACACCAACTTTGTGAAAACGGTTACATTACTTGCTGTCTTTTAATTTCCAATTTTATGTTGGTCATGAAAAATGCAATATCTTTAATTATATCACGAATTTCAACTTGAAATAAAAAAGGAATGAAAGCCCTGCGAGTCCATTGGCCATAGAAATTTGAATCACCGTCATAGCATGCCTCATGATCTTATTTCGAATTTTTCTTTAAACTGCGACGGTGAATCGCATTTCGTCGAGTAGCCCATTTCATTGTATNGTGAATCGCATTTCGTCGAGTAGCCCATTTCATTGTATCATTTGACCCACCAACCGAGGGAGTTTGACCCTGAAATTTTAATATGACCTTACCTATAGGGTTAGGTACCTTACTACAAAATTTCTCAATTTTATGAGTATGTTAAGTGAGATAAACATGATTGGGGCAGACATGATATTCTCAACAGCTTAAGGAGCTTTTGACTTGACATTAAAAGTTCACTATTATTATATTTTATTTTAAATTTTCCCGTTTCCATACTTTGTAAAATATTTATTTCCGCACCTAGAATTTTGAAATAAATCGTGAATCCTTTGACGCATTTTAAATATTTAGATGAGCCACAAAAGTTAAAAAATGAAGATTTTATAGCACTCCGGGTATTAGGATCTAGGGTGTTACAGCATTAATGATAGATTAATTACAATTTAACTTCACGTAATCTCCTTTTAAATATAGAGTTCGTTTTTCATATTGGAGTACTCAATTTTAAATTAATTAAATTAAGTTTAATCACTTAAAATCGAAGCTCGTCTACATATATAATTATATTAAAACTATAATAAATATTATTTTATATTGTAATTAATCTACAATTATATTAATGCGACCATTAATATATTATATAATTATAATAAATTACATCTATATATGTGAGCTTCAATTTTAAGTAGTAAATTTAATTTAAATATTGTAATTTAAGTAATTAAACTTAATTTGATTAATGTAAAATTTTAAGTACTCCAATATAAAATAACGAGCATTACTCTTTAGTAAATTTAATTTAAATAATGTAATTTAAGTAATTAAACTTAATTTGATTAATGTAAAATTTTAAGTACTCCAATATAAAAAAGTGAGCATTAAGCAAAAAAAATGTTGACAATCAACAACTTTTATAGAATCTCTTACGTACTAACTTTTTAAGCAAAAATAAGGATTAAATTAGTTGTACACAGTTATATACATTAAGTTTGACATGTTATGTATTGTCAAAATTTACGCAATTAATTATTTAAAATATTGTTAAAATCAATATGTACCTTATATCACTTGAAAAAAAATAAAAAATTGATCAAGCGAGAATCGAAGCAACGGATAAAAAGAAAAGAAAAATGGCCTTGGAGATATGTTTCAACTCGTGACGATTTTTTAATCAGATAGAAAAGTAATTTTTGTATCAGGTCTCCTTGTTTGGACTCCATTTTACTCAGGTTTCTTGGAAAAATATATTTTAATAGTAATATTTTTTTTGGCGACGTGTAATTAAAAAGTAATTTTTTTTTTAAATTTACGTATAATATTATTTTATAAAAAAATATATAATAAATAAGTTTTAAAAAAATATATTTGTGAACCAAACGAGAGTAAGCTCTTATCTGAGACACATTAAAATTTTCATTTTTTACTCATTTTTAACTGCACATTTTTAAATAAAATAATATTTTATATCACATCAATAATTTTTCTTTTTTTTCCAATCATACATTCTTCATCAAACTACTGTTCCAAAATACATTATTTCAAAATAACTTGATCAAACACAACCTAAGGAAACAGTTGACTTGGGATCCGTAAGGGAAGAAGAAGAAGACAGAACAAATAAGAGCGCACAGCAGCCAGAGGTGGTCTGCTGGCGCGAATACAGTCCAACCATATAAATTTGTCGCCTTTAAGTTCTTCGAACCTACTGTAAAATGGAGATAAACTACAGAAACAAGACTATACTCGCCCCCATGGTCCGAGTTGTAAGTTCCTATATTCGTTTTCAACTAGGGTATTCTAACTTTAGTATTTTCTGTTTGTATACAAGGATTAGATGATGTTAATATACTATATTGCTTGCGAATTTGAATATTTTTATTTGCCTGTTCTCAATTGTTGTAATTTGAAGACGGCTAGTATCTATTTTTTGATGCTCGAGCTCGAATTTGAAATATAGGGGACATTGCCATTTAGGCTACTTGCTGCTGAATATGGTGCGGATATAACATATGGCGAGGAAATTATTGACCACAAACTCCTTAAATGCGAGCGCCATATTAATGGTAATTATATTCTGTTCTTTTTCCCTCTGCCAACTACTGTCAAATTATATGCTCTGGCTTAGTTCGAGATATAAATTGAATTCAATATAGATATTTCACCTCTGCATTTTTTTTTTTAATTGCAATCACCCATGCATGATTGTAAATAAATGGCGAATCCATGGCTGATTTTCTGGAACTTACATTATTTTATTTTCTTTGCTAGATGTACTTGGAACTGTCGATTTGATAGAGAAGGGAACAAACAGTGTAGTTTTCAGAACATGCCCCGAAGAAAGAAGTCGAGTGGTATTTCAGATGGGGACTTCGGATGCTGTGAGGGCCCTTAATGCTGCACAGATGGTGTAAGTTGCTTTATGTATGTAGGTTTATTTAGTCAGTATTTTGACATTCGAATCAGAATGATAATAAAAATTTCTTTGGGTTGGCGCTTTGGAGTGGACTCATAGGTGTGATATCTTTTTCAGAAAAGAATTTTACTATACAAAGTATTTCAAATTTTGATCTGGTTTTCATGTAGATTTCTGTACAATTCTCCATGTTAATGCAATGGCCTACAGCTCTGAAAAATTTCACCAAGTGATTTTGCTGATCAACTCTGTAAAATGTTTTTTCCTTGCATTGTTTCTGAAATTTCATTGAAATAGTTTTACTCCTGGTTTCTACAAGATATGGAAGGTAATTGAACTTTTTGAAGTTGGAATTTTACAATTCTCTCAAAAGAAAAAGGAGCTGATATCGGTGGTTGATGGATTTACTCCCAAGCTTAATTGCTCATATTATGAAAAGGAAGTGGCCATAATTGTCCTGGCATGACACCACCTTTCTCACCATTTTTAGTCATTTCATCTCCCATATAGTTTGCAATATAATAGATAAATCTAGTTAACCACTGGCTACTTATTCATTACACTGATTTCCCATGTATTTGGATGGCAATGTTCTAAATTTTGAGTTTATGGTTTGGGGTGGACATTTTCTTGCCAAGTTCTTGTTCAATTTTTTCCATTTCCTGAGTGCTTGTTCATTTCTTTCCTTCTTGTTGGAAGATTCCTTCTCATAAAAATGTTATAGAAAACATCAATGATGCTAGGGTTCTTCGCCTCTCAAAATACATCACTTCCCAAAAACAAATTTTTGGACTCTGGAAAACCTACAAAGTGAGAACTGACATGGGGAAGTTGGATCTCTTACCAACAATGTCGATCAGTTTATGGTACTTTGTTTATTTCCTCTATGTACAAAGACCCGGGGAGCTAAGGATTGAATCCAGGGAGCACCAATGTACTCTCCTAAAAGAAAAGGAATTATATGCATTTTTATCTTAACGCGAGACAGGTAACCACTTAATTTTTAATTTCAAGAGCAAGTTTCTAATAATGTGACTTTTATATCAGCATTTAAGCTCCACAAAATTGAAGTAACCATCATATCCTTGGCTCCCCCCACCCCCTCCCCCTCTCTCCAGGCAAACACAAACACCCTACCCTTGTGCACGCTTATCATGCATTAACATGGAGATCTAGTCTTATTCTTGATATGTTTCATTGATCATAACTGGTTCAGGATGCCTGTTCCTTTTTGCTACTGTTATTTCGGCGATGTACAAAAATATCAAATGATTTATATACTCTTACTGATAGGACAAAACTCCACCAGTCTCTTTTGACTTCTCTCATCATCAAAATAAATCTTATTAGCTGAATGGTTTAGCCTGAAATTGGGGCATGTACTGGATCTTTACACTTCAGATAGCAATAACTTCATGCTTATTTCGTACAGCGTGTTCTCTTTCAGGTGTAAAGATGTTGCTGCTGTGGATATAAACATGGGTTGCCCCAAGTCCTTCTCTATTAGTGGTGGAATGGGTGCTGCATTATTGACAAAGCCAGAGCTCATTCATGATGTATGAAATACTTTCCTGCATCCTTTTGAGCATAAGTAAATTTCATTTGGTTAACTCAAGTTTTGCATTCAATTGTCCCTACAACTTTTTCTGAAATCCAGATTTTGACAACATTAAAAAGGAACCTAGATACACATGTAACGTGCAAGATTCGGCTATTAAAATCATCCCAAGACACTGTGGAATTAGCACGGCGAATAGAGAAAACTGGTGTTTCTGCATTAGCTGTCCACGGAAGGTACCTTTAGAATATTTTTGCTTGTGCAAGATTTTTTAAATAGCCCTGGTGTGGCAATTTGGTTTGACTCTTCACTGTACTGCATCTTTTAAAATAAAAATATGTTTTTTCATCCCATTTGTCTATTTTGTAGATTAGTTGGGCTATTTTGAATCAGAACCAGCTCCTTTATGCAAGTTCAGATAAAATTTATTTTTGAGGAACAGATCGATGGCTATTCTGTTTTTATATGCTATAGAATATAAATGCACTGGAATAAAGGGAAGAGACACATAACAAAAGAGACCTTTTTGGCTTGAAAGATGGGGTTTGCAAAAGCTTGGCCATTTACATAGCTCCTACGTAGTAGGAAATTTGAATTAACTTTAGTCTGAAACATGAAGAGTCCACCTAGGTCAGAGTATCGATGTTGATGTGTCTTGGACACTCCGGGACATGTGTCCGGCACGCCATGTAGTTATTTTCTTTATATATTCAAATTCCGACACATAGGGAGACATGGATCAGGCCAATGGGGATATGACTAGGGCTATGCTTTATGGGCCATTTTCAACCAATTTAGTTGTCCTGTAAGGCTGTGATTTGACTATTCTAAGGTAAATCTTAAATAAGTAATTGAAATTGCTAAGCTATCTTCGGATGAACCAAAATTGGCGACGACTGTCTTGTTTGACAATGGAGACAAAGAAGTAAAGAAAGATGAATGAAAGCATCTATTTCATTTTGTCTGGAGTTGAATGGTGTACTTAAACAAAAATAATATGAACTTGAAATTGTTTTGATGTAGTATATGGACTTTTAACACATGAATATGTTTAGTTCATTGTCACTAGTAATACAAAGTTTAACTTAAAGTTATTGCATGGATAATACATTTTCTTCCACATCCTATTCATGTTAATAAGAGTGTCAAAATCAAAACAAAAAATTTGACTTAAACAGGTACAAAAATAAAGAATAATTTTATTAATGTTACCAATTGCTTTCATTTAAATCAAAATGTGCCCAGCATGCACATGTCCCAATTTTTTTTGGGAAAAGTTACTTCTTGTGACATGCCGCATTTTTGTTTGTATCTCTAGTCTCGATTGAGTTAGACTAAAATCTATCCTTCCTGTCATCAAATAAGTCTTTGTGGAGTGTTTATGTATAATTTTGTAATTTGTATCATATGGTCTGCGATTCCCAGACATGCACATGTCCTATTGTTATGAAAAATTATTGCGTTCCCAAGTAGGCTTCATGGCAGCCAGTTCCACAATTGACCATCTTAAACTGATTATTGTCTTTGCCAACCATTGATATGATTGCTCTCAAAATGAACTCTTGGAATTGAGATGCAATTACTGAAATTACCTTGCACTAGAATAGATTTCTCTAACAATTATCTTTCAATTGCAAACTTTTTGTCTCACAATTAACTCTTGCTCAGTTTTGATCAATTTATTATGTTTTATGATTGGATTTCCTTCTGCGGGACCTTCATGATGATTTTAAATCTTTTCTCTTATTCTAAATCAATCCCAGAAAAGTTGCGGATAGGCCAAGGGATCCTGCGAAGTGGAGTGAAATTGCTGATGTCGTTGCTGCACTTTCTATTCCAGTTATTGCAAATGGAGATGTATTCAACTATGCAGATTTTGAACGCATCAAAGTTGCTACAGGTAGAGAAATGGAATTTTATCAATTCTGTAGGTCTTTTACCCTTTCTCTTTTCTTACTTTTCCAGTTGATTTGGGGATTGGTAATATTTCATCCTATGGAATAACTTCTTAGCAATACATGCTTCTTTGAATAAAATTTTGAAATCGAATAGGTTCTCCTCTGTCAGATAGCATTGTCATTACTTTTAGAGAGACTGAAAATATATTTGTCTTGTGGGTACAGAACTACAGATGACACCTTGCTTAATAAACCTTGGTAGTCCATATTGTTTCGATTATTAATATTTAATTTGAAGAGATTGCACTGCATAAATGCTGTTAATGCATGTGCCACTTCAATAGGTAAATGGTACTTTTCGCATGGTGTATGGAGAGATGAGGTTAGGACAGTGTCTAATGTACTTTGTTTTGGATCGTTTCTGAGCAATTAATTCCCTACATGCTGAAAGGTGACTTTCTTTTCTCTTTAAGAGAAAACCTATGTATAAAGGTTTGGCACTTCATATTGGGATTGTATTTTGTAGCATAATTATTCTCTAGATTGCACTTTTTCTATGGGAATATATCGATTTCTTTTATTATCTTGGAAATTTACATCAACATGTTTGTATGTGATTGTAATTCTTGTGTATATAGAGCATCAAACTATTACCTGACTCGCTATACGTTGTCACTAAAGCTCTTCCTTGATAGATTAAATCAAACGCTTATGTTTGGTTGGGCAATGCTCTCTGTAGTGCTTTCTCTGCAACATTTCACTTTGTTTTGCTTTTCTCAAGTTGACTCATATTTATATTATTTTACCGTTAAACTCCTCCTTTCATGTATATATATGTGCCTGTGTGTGTATCCATATGTAGTTACCTTCAAAACTGAAGGAGGTTTATTATCTGCATACTAGACTTCTCATTATGTGGCTATTCAGCTCTCTGCCACATGGATTGTGGTGCCTGTGAATGCACTCACTTTTATGGTGTCATAAACATCCACTTTGTGACCTTTGGAAAGTAAAGAAGTGATCATAATCTGTTAAAAAATCTGAGGTGCAAGCTGACCGTTTGGATTCATCTACATGCATCATGCTGGTCTTGGCATTTGTGGCAACTCACATGGTTTAGAATCAATTCATCTCTTTGCTGTTTTATATATAAATTAGGTCATTTAGATCAGAACTAAGAAGTTCATATTTCATTGGTGTTAGCCTCTCTCCATAGAAGACTGTGATTAAGTTGAGCCTGCATTAAATTGAATTTGGAGGCACATTGCTGAGTAAAATTTCGGTGCATATGGGTTTATATGAGATGTTAGGGAGAGCCTTCATAGTTTTCAGGGGATATCCGAAAGGGCCCAGTTTGTCACACCTTTTAGATTTTGTTGAATACCCTTGCTTTCTTCTTCTTCTGCAAAGGTTACAAATAACATGTCAACAGTGGTGTGGGATTGGGATGCCTACATTTGCTTACTGAAGTTGTCTACATGGAAGATTAACCTTGGCAGTAGAGAGGTTTTTTTACTTTCTACTTACTGGTTCCTGTCTGTAATGTGGACCAAAGCATATTTTTAACGTGTAATGTTCAGTTGTTAATAAATGCTGTGGCTTCTGCTTCTCATTTTGATTAAGTATCGTGGCATACATTCACCGTGTTCTGTTTTGGCCGGTCGTGTAGTGATTCTGATATACACTTTACACTTCTGTTTTTGCCTATGAATGCTATAACAATTTTCACTTCTAATTTGCTCCTGCATTAGGTGCTTCATCAGTGATGGTCGCTAGAGGCGCTCTTTGGAATGCTTCTATTTTTTCTCCTAAAGGCAAGTTACCTTGGGAAGATGTGAAAAGAGAGTATGTTAGGAAGGTATTTGTGATGTAAATACTAGATTTCACATTTTGTTTCTCTTCACTTGTTAATATATATATAGTGCTAAACTACGTTATGATGACACCACACATTCTCTAGTTAGTTTTATGACAACTGAATTCTTAACATTGTCATAGCATGCTTTGTTTTGAGCTCTTGGATTGATAGATAAAGGAATTTACCAAGACTAGACTTCTGTGCAGAGCATCTTATGGGATAATGATATCAAGAGCACTAAGCACACACTCAAGGAAATCATAATGCACTATTCTTGCCTTGAATTCCCTGAGGGAAAGGGTGTAATAAAGTCAGAGAGCCATGCAGATCTAGCGTAAGTTTCTTTTTCTACACATGCTCTTATGGGTATTATATAGGCAGATTTATAGTTAATTCTTTAAAAAACTGCCATTTTCTGTTCTGCTAAATTATATGAGAGGACACTCATATCTCCATGCTCCAGAGATTTGTGTTGGGTTGTAGAATTGCATTATTGGGGTGATGCTCATGTTGCACATTTTCAATCACCACATATGTTATGGACTCATAGGTTTGTATTTTTCTTTTGGTTTGCAATGTGTGATGTTTAGGAAAATCATTATTTTGGCTTATTATTAGTAGTAAAAAATAATCAACTGATTTACGTGGACTGTCCTTCAGTACTGAGTTACTCCAAAATCAGTTTTATTTTAGTTTCTGTTCATTTGGATTATGGGTTTCTTTTTTTGAAAAGAGATGTATTCTTGGAGTTAGATGCATTTTGCTCATCTTAATTTCATCGGAGACTAAATAAATTTGTTCTGGTTAGAACACCAGTCCACCCTCCTTCCTATGGCAGCATATCAGACAGAATTCAGTTCTTGTATTTTCTACTCTTCTAATTCTAATATATATATATATATATATATTTATTTTTAATAAAACAATGTTATTGTTTAATGTCCAGGCGACTTTATGGAGAAGACAAGTACTATGAGCACGTCAACAAGCAGCGGTTCTGTGGAAGTAGATGACATAATTTGAACATCTTTGGTCTCGGGATGAAAATGATAGGGTGAAATTTTGCTCTAGGCAAGCTGATTTCATGATGGGAATTCTAGTTCATAAATGCCTACATTCATTTAATTTTTCTCTACGGCTATGCACCTATCTGAGAAATTAGTGTCTTGGACTTTTGTTTAACCAACTGGAGTGATTCAGTTATTGTCTCAATATTGGAGGGACCGAATTATTCTACGTGCATCTAATCGTCACCATTTGGAGCTATGTACGGAAATTTTTGACATTCATTGGTTCCTCTGTCGTCGCAGTTTTATGGGATACTAGTGAGTTGTCTCTGCGTGTTTAAACCTTGTGTAATGCCTACGGGCATGACCTCATTTGAGTTCTTGTCTTTGTAATGTTGTATTAGCCCAATAGGAAAATTTGTTTTGCTGTAAACTTAAAAATCATGCGAAATGAGCCATGAGATTATTTTTGCTTTTGTTACCAAATAAGTTATCATATAAAAAGATTAAAATTAATAGTGTGTTTGACGGATATTATTGAGAAAATAATATATTTTAAATAATGATATGATGAGAAATATTTTACGAAGACAGCTTTAGAGAAATGCTATTCATCCCCACTGAGGATGTATCCCCAATCTATGTGGCGTTAAATGATAGGTGAAATTAAATAAGTCATTTAATTTCACCTATCATTTAACCAATCATTTACATCTACATAAACTGGGGATGCATCCCCACTGGGGATGAATATCATTTTTCTAAAAATAAATAATTACTCCAAAATTGTTATAATAATTCAATAAGTAGATTTATTTGAGTTTAACAACAATTAATAAACTACACACTCAATAGTTATTAAGTAGATTTAGCGCTCGTTTGGTAAAAATTAAAATTCAATTAAAATTGGAAATATAGTCGTCATTGGGTCTCACTCGTCTAATAAAAGTCAACAATAATTAGGTAATTTTTCAATTTTAATTCGATTTTAATATTTACCGAACACGTCCTTATTAGATTTCTATAGAATTTGATATTAAAATAATAAAAACTCACAAGTTATTTTCCACTTGACCCCAATTTTGATAATTGAGTCGAGCATAAAATAGTCCGTCGATGATATGATCCCTACTTGAACTACCCACCATTTAATTTCAAGAATTAAGAACTTCCGAGTATTCCAATTTTTAAACATGTTGTAGAAATTGTCGAGCTATCTTTTAATTTTATTTTTTTTAAAGCATGTTTGGATAGGTACTATGAATAATTTAAGTTTTTAAAATAAAAATAATTGTTCATAAATGAATAATATTTATGAATTTCTCATAATATATGGATTTTTTTTTTACTTCAATAGATTATTTTAGGCCAAATGTTTTCTAGTTATAGGCATAGACAAGTGCAGCCCATCCATCGGCTTTTCAATATTCCAGTTATAAAAAAAAAAAAAAAGATCTCAAACTTCTGAGAGGTAGAAATCTCAACTATTCCTCACCGTTTGTGTTGTGAACAAGGTTTTCCCACACCTGTTCGGCTGTCCCCGTCAAATCACACCATCTTTGCATTTCTCTTCATTCCTTCGGTTTCTTTCGGTAAGGTACCAAAATCCTTTTCCCCCTTTTCATTTATATTTTTGTATATGTAAATTAATTCGTAATATTGAATTTTGTGTGGAACTTGCTGAATCAACTTCATTTTCTTGGATCTGAGAAATTTTCTCTTGCAATATTCTTAATTTTCTTTATCGTCTTCATTGTTTAGAAATTTTCTTCTTTCGGACTCTATTTGTGATGTTTTTTCTTTTGGGTGGGTGGGGGTGGGGGGAGGGAGAGGGACAATTTCGAGCAAATCTTAATTGAGAATTTGTTCATGCTCTTTTCTAGCTTTTTTATTAGCTTTTATAGTTATATATGGCTACAGTCACATATAGTTATATATCTTAACTTAGGCAGTAGGACCCCCAGCCCTGTAATTTTAAGTGCTTGATTTTGTTTTTGGACATCAAGTTGATTGTTTGGTTTGATCTCCCAGAATGATTTGTTATGTACTTTTATTTTAATTTAAAGATTAAGGAAGTTATAACATCCAAGTTGTGCTTTTTCAAGGTTTTCTTCTTATCCCGTGGTTACAGATGATTTTTTAGACGCTCAAATTAATGCTTTTCTTTTCTTGCCTTTTGCCATTCTCCCCTTTGCATTTTTATCTGACTTTTTAAAACTTTGTTAAGCCCCTGCTTGACAACCAATGAGTTTTTGAATACTAAATCTTTGGAAAATGCTTGGTTAAAATGTAAGAAAAAGTTTTGGATTTACGTAAAGAATATTTTATTGCGAGAACATGTGGTTGAAAATGAATACAAGAAAAAAAGAGTTTTGAAAGAATGGTAGAGAAAAAAAGAGTTTTGAAAGTATGGTTGTCAAACAGGGCTAAATCTACTCTTCACCATTGGTGTTAAACATATACCATAATCAATCATATAATGATAATATTTGTCTTGCAAAATACTGTTCAATTCATATTTGTACCTTTTCAGAACTCTTGTTGTATTGATGTTTGTTAACTGGAGAAAGTTTGCTGCCTTGATTCTCATTATTTCTTCCTTTTCCTTCCGCGCACAACTACCAAGAGGTAGTTTCTGCATTTTGTGGTTACTATATTTTGGTCTGTGAATCACTCAATCATATATGAGGAGACTTAGTCTTTTATCCCTTTCTTGTAGGTGCCATCCATTTTTACTTAAGCTCAATTATCCTGAGGAACTTGGCATTTAGAGATGGATCTGAATTCCATGAAAGATGCATTTGATCGTGTTACGAAGAAACAAAAGTTGTCATCCTCCAAGTCTCTGGAAATGATAGAACAGATTGTGCAAGAAATAGAACAAGCATTAGCAAGAATACAATCAGGTCATGATTCTACAACCCCAAGTAATCATGTGTTGATCCTAAGTGAACTAAAAGCGAAGTTGAAAGAAATTGCTCCACTCAACCAGCTGGAAAGCAACCTGAAAGAATTGAACATTGCATTGAGCAGATATCCAAAGCTCCTCGAGAAATCCTTCAATCCTGATATATCAAAAGCTTACCGCGATATTGATTTTGATATACACATCATCAATCAAATAATTGCCGATCATTTCTATCGGGAGGGCCAGTTCGTTCTTGGTGATTGTTTTGTAGATGAGTTGAGGGAACCAGAAGCTGCAGCTAAGAAATCTCCTTTCTTGGAAATGTATAAGATACTAGAAGCCATGAGATCACAGAACCTGGAGCCTGCTCTACAGTGGGCTGCTACCAACCATGAAAAACTTAAACAAAATGGATCCGACATTGAACTGAAACTCCATCGTATTCAGTTTGTGGAAATCCTTCAAAAACATGGTCGAGATGAGGCTTTGAAATATGCTAGAACTTTTTTGGCTCCTTTTGCTGCCAGTCATATTACTGAAATCCAAAAGCTTATGGCTTGTCTGTTATGGGCTGGGAGACTTGATTCCTCACCATATGCAGAATTACTGTCCCCTATGAACTGGGACAAATTGGCTGAGGAGCTCACCCAGCAATTCTGTCATCTTATAGGGCAATCCTATGAAAGCCCTTTAAGTGTAACAGTTGCAGCTGGAGTCCAGGGTTTGCCGACCCTTCTGAAGCTGATGAATGTAATGACTGTTAAAAAGCAGGAATGGCAGTCCATGAAACAGTTACCCGTGCCTGTGGATTTGGACACAGAGTTTCAGTTCCATTCCATATTTGTGTGTCCTGTGAGTCGGGACCAGGCAAGTGAAGAGAACCCTCCAATGCTGCTGTCATGTGGACATGTACTCTGCAAGCAATCTATCACCAAGTTGTCCAAAAATAATAACACACGTCCCTTCAAGTGTCCTTACTGCCCTTCTGAGGTCGAAGCAGGCCAGTGTAAGCAGTTGTATTTGTGATGTATGTTCAACTGTGAACCAAGTGTTGTATCAAACTTCCTACTTTGCATCCCTCCAGCAGTCTCCTCTTCCTCGAATCCTCCACTCCACAAAAAGAGAAGGGAAAAAAAAAGATAGAAAAAGAAAACTCTAATTAATTGAATAGATGTAATTATAGTCTAGAGTATATGTTTCTAAAGTTGGTATCGGTGTTGTACTGTTTGATGAACTAGAAATAGATGAAGAAACGTGTAAGTAAGTTCAAGACTGGGAGTGTAGATTAAACTAGGTGGACAAAGATGGGGATCCAAAGATCAAAGAGGAAAAAAGGGTTTATTTAGGGTGATCAAATCAATGAATTCAGTTAAGCCCCTGTTTGTCTCCCCTTTAAACAAAATTCTTTAATTTTCACTCATTTTTAACGACACATTTGCACGTAAATCCAAAATTTTTCCTTCTAACCACATTCTCTTAAAAATCATTATTCAAAGCATCATTTTTTTGAAAATAATGGCCATCAAACAGGGACTAAGTAATGAATTGACTTGATCAACAAAGACAGTCTTGCTTTCTTCTTTCAATCTTTGGACCTCAAACTTCACTGTCATAGCTCGTGAAGACCTTGAACTTCACTGTCATAGCTCATGTGAAGTGACACGAGGCCATACTCTCATACTGGATTCACTCTCTTTGTTGATCAAACTCAAAAGGAGGGTAGACTGAAAAGGTCGCTACTATACGTACAGCAAATTTTTCACAGAACACGTACAGAATTTCGAAAAATGGGATGTGGCACTGCAAGATTCTTATGTCCTGACAACCACCAGGCGCCCCCTTCACCCACGCACCGACCCACCCACCCACAACGCCACCCCTTCCCCTTTTGGCATTTTCTTTATTTATTGACTCAAATTTCGAAGTTATTAAGTGAATGTTAAGTGAAGTCGAAATATTATATCCTTAACACCATTTCGAAGTACTCACGATCTAGTTTATCTCATTTTTAACCGCGTGCGAAACGGCCAACTGTAGCAAAAGTTACCACTCGTCGAAATAGGCCGTTCCAAAATATATAAATATTTTTTTCTTATTATCATCTCAATTTTTGGGGTTATCACGGTTTCTTTGCACATTCATTCAAGTTCTTTGGGAGTGTAGATTAAACTAGGTGGACAAAGATGGGGATCCAAAGATCAAAGAGGAAAAAAGGGTTTATTTGGGGTGATCGAATCAATGAATTCAGTTAAGCCCCTGTTTGTCTCCCCTTTAAACAAAATTCTTTAATTTTCACTCATTTTTAACGACACATTTGCACGTAAATCCAAAATTTTTCCTTACTTCTAACCACATTCTCTTAAAAATCATTACTCAAAGCATCATTTTTTTGAAAATAATGGCCCTCAAACAGGGGCTAAGTAATTAATTGACTTGATCAACAAAGACAGTCTTGCTTTCTTCTTTCAATCTTTGGACCTCAAACTTCACTGTCATAGCTCATGTGAAGACCTTGAACTTCACTGTCATAGCTCATGTGAAGTGACACGAGACCATACTCTCATACTGGATTCACTCTCTTTGTTGATCAAACTCGAAGGAGGGTAGACTGAAAAGGTCGCTATTATCTGCTATTCCTCCATATTTTCACACTTAAGCAAGTTTCGTTCAGGTGATGTTTGGAGAACCCTGAATCACAATACGCAGAAAAACCACAATGAACATAGCTTTTAATGTTTTTGCTTTTGTTATACTCCCCGTCCCTGATAGGTATTTATGACAGAATCTATCCATGATTTTGAAAAAAAAATTGGATAAGATGTGAAAATTGACATTGAACGGGCCGTGCAGAACTCATGCTACAAGAGTATGCATCGTGATGGTGAGTAAACTTGAAGACCTAAAGTTTAAATTTAGTGTTTTCATATCAGTTGGCTCTCTTTCTGTTGTGAAATGAATTCAATTTATGCATGCAGTCGTGACATGTACATTACAACTTACAGACTTGTTTACCAACAGATGATGTAGCGAGATATGATTGAGTCTAAATTTCGCCAACCAACTAAAAAAATAAAATTTCCTCACTTTTTTGCCACCTCATCAATCTGTAAACGATGGTGTAAAACATGCATTCCTTATGTGCTCCTATTGATTTACACTGGTCTCGCATGTCCTATGATGTCTTTAGGGCACTTCCCCATTTGGTTTCTCTCTACTGCATCTTCTCTTAATTGTGTAACTAGCTATCCTGATGATTGCCAGAGTTTAGTGATTTCTATATTGAATTATTCTAGATGAACACGACTGACCTGGGAACACCACTGGATGAACATGGACTGTTCATTTAGCACAACTCTTCTATATTTTCCTTGGTCACGACCTTGTGTCTTTGTCTACTAGTAAGAAAAACGTTGTAGCTCTCCATATTCGTACGGTACTGTTGCTAATAGTACTTCAAAACGTGTTTAGATTCAGTCCTTTCTTTGTGAGTTGCACGTTCCTATCAACCTGTGTTCTTTTTCTTGACACGTCTTGTTACAGTTATATTGGTTGCACATCTGGAGTCGAAGTATGACTCCTGTAGCAGAGAGCTGTCGTATGCCATTTCCATTTTTTCTTCTTCTAAAATCGGTTCACATGTGCCCATAGACTTAAATGTCTCACCCGACACAACATATTCTCTTTCATGCTGATGCTTCATATGGATCACCAGGCAGAAATGTCCAGCTTGACACAGCCCACCTATAAAGCTGGACCAACATGTGGCCTGGCCTCGTCCTGACGGCCCCTTTTTTGTTTTTACACGACTTTTGCTTGCTGGATTTGATTACTTTTTTTATAATCGTATTGGAACCCCCACTTTGACACTGGCTTCTTAAAAAAGGATGAGTCGCATCCTTGACACTGGCTTCTTAGCTTGAAGCTTGCCTTGAGATAGTATATAGTGCCAGAACAGTCCTTTAAGCATCAAAATTTTCATAGACAGTTGCACATGGTTATCTGACGAGACAAATTGGTCACCTAGCTAGCATATTTCTACAGTGATATGGCTTTGCCGGTGGACCCAGTTACCAGCCCAGGCATTGTATTTTCCGAATAGGGAAGTAGAGCGGAGTGCCCAGAATTGACCCCAGTACATAAAGCTGCTAAATAAGGGTAAAGATATTTGTACATAATTTAATGTACCGAATTGTCTACCCCTCTCACATGCACGCGGGCCCCACGTGATTAAAAAAATTCCAAGATGTGGTCCCTACTCCCTATTATAAGTAGTCAGTAAAGGATTAGGTAAAAAAATTCGGCACATATAGTATCGTCCACTAAATAAAGGTTGTCAATTTGTGCGGCTGACATAGACGACCTTTTACTTCAACTTTTAGCATTTTTCTGCTACAAAATCTAGCAAAGTCTTAGCTCCTGTTTGCCTCCCTCTAAAAAATCCTCTTTAATCCATATAAATTTTCAAAAAATTACTATTTAAAATATCATTGTTTCTCGATAATGACCATGAAACATGGGCTTATATGTTGAAAAAGCCAAAAGCTTCTTTAAACGTTTCAAACTTGTATCCCTTTTGAAACATCTCCCTCCTGTACGTCAGAATGTACAAAATATGGGAAAAACTTACTTTTCTGTACTTACTAGTACTTGTCCTTTAAGATCCCAAAGGATCACAAAATGCCTCTCTTCTCACGTCATTATATTTTATCAAACTTCAATTCACATTCAATTATTAGTCCATATATTTAAGAAAAAGAAACTTCTCTAGTCTCGAGATCTCCAGCTCATGCAATATATGTAGGGGTGACAAACAGGTTGAACTGCTCGGAACTCGGCTCTTCCGAGCCACAGACTAAGGTTGGCTCGAGCTCATTTCGAGACGAGCCATGAGATGAGTTGAAAACCATTTTTCATGAGCCAATTTATGGGTTAGTTTATTTTATTTTGAACTTTCTAAATTTTTATTTAAAAAAAAAATGAGGCTTGTGGACGACTTGGCCTATGAGGCTCACGAGCCAAAGGACCGAACATGGCCTAGTCTGTGGACATGAACAAAACTCGACTCTTCCATAGGGTCTAACCGAGCTCATGTATCTAACCTGGCTCAGTCTGTTGCCAAGCTAAAGTGCATGGAAAAAATTATTTCCGACATGTCTTCTTACGTTATTCATATGTAACGAACTCAAATATAATATCGTGTTCAGTACGTAATTCTAAACATGATTGGACAGTCTAATAAGTAGCTTTCATGCCCCTATGTATTAATGCATTTCTACTTGATGCAACATATGGATCATAGGATACAAAAGGCATTTATGCCATGTCTGGGTGCACTAGAAATTGTAATTTCTACCGTTAACTATTCAAATTTGGGTCCCACCTGTCTCACATGTGGTCAAAAAGGGCGGTTGCTTTTCAACTTAACTGTATAAAAATGAATTATTTTGGGCTGAAAAATCTGTCCCAGACAGCCACTTAATGTGGACAGGAGGAAGAAGCACCCTAGCAGCTAATATACACCAAATTTTTTAGAAGATTTTAACCTCTATGCCTTCATTTTTCCTTCTTTATAGCCCCCACCAAAAAATAAACTACATGGGGGTACCATGCTCAACAGCATCAAAGCAATGTGGGGGTACCCCTCCTATTTCCGTACCTTACACCGGACACAATTTGTACCTTTAAACCTTTATAAATTCTCACCACACCCCCTTCAAATTTTACACATTCAACAGCCCTTTAATTCTTTTTCTCCCTTTCTTCTAACAAAAGATTCGGTTTTTTCTTGAACCCCTCATGTGGGAAGTGGGAAGATCAAGTAATTATGGAGAGTTCTACTACATATCATGCACAAGGCGGGGCATCTCGGCCATTCCTCGGCTTCCCTCTCGGCACAGCTCTTCTCTTGATTATCGTTTTTAGCTTGAGTGGCATATTCTCCTGCTGCTATCACTGGGAAAAACTTCGCTCCTTTCGACGATCTTTCTCCAATCTCCAGGCTGATGATGATCAAGGCCCTTCCAAGCCTAAAATTTTAGTGTACCATTATTATAAATGAAGCTCATTTTTGAAAACATGCTGAATATTTGAATTTTTTAGTTCTAAGCAAGAGTTTTTTCAGAGTTCAATGGAGCAGCAGAAGGAGAGCTTGCCAGTTTTGATGCCTGGTGATAATTATCCCAAGTTCATAGCATTACCCTGTCCATGTCGGCCTCCGGCACAAGATTGATTTATCGTTGAGATTCAAAAGCCGCCTCTAGTAGCTGTGCCTTTGTTTTAATTCATAGAGACATTACATTACTACCATTTTATTTACTTATTTACAGTTCAATCAAATTCCCAGTTTACTGGAAACTGAAAATGTTTGCTGATGGACCAAAAAAATTACCTTATTTTGTTTTCCCAAACATGAATGTACATATGTGAACGCTGAAAAAAAATTAGATTTATCGGAACATCCTTTCACTGTAATTTATCTTGGATTTTCTATTAGTAATATTAAACTAAAATATTATAAGAAAATATCGAAATATAAAATATAAAAATAAAAAAATATAAACCATAGAAAATTCTGTTAAATTTATAAGTTACTTGTGAAATACTCTTATCAGTATTTATTATATAGAAAGAATAAGCTTCCGTTGATGATGCTGATGGTAATTAGGGATGGCAATGTGGTGAGTATGGAACGTATTTTTTTACCATTCCTAATGGTAATCACAAATGACTTCTTCTTTGCGATTAATGTTCATCGTCGGAGTCATTGTTGACTATTTTTTGATGAATTTAATCGAAGATTGCTTACACGCTATCGGTTTATATGAAGTCTAACTTGTGTCTATAAAGTTGCTCAACTTTTATAAATATGATTACGTTAAAAGGAATTCATTCAAAATGTTTTAAAATTTGTGGGATAAAATGAAAATTTCTTGGTTCAAAATGTCTAATCTTACATAAAGGTAACCTCTACAATCACAAATTTTCAACTGTCCCACCACAGACATCATACCCCACCCGACACACCCCAATGTCTGTTGGACTCGAAATTGAAGTGTCATTTATTGCCATCACCAAACATGCCTTTCCACACTTTATGTCAATATCGAGCGGCATTCTTACATTGTCCCACACAATAACCACCCCTTACCTAACTTCTAAATTCCTTTCTGTAATAATTTTGTGTTCAGTATTTGTTGAAAATACCGAGCCCTGTTTGGTTTAGCTAAAATTAAATAATTAAACTCTGAAGAAATGTATGGTTAAAAAATTTATAAAATTTATGGCTTTCAAAAAGATATATGGTTAAAATTAATTATTGATTTTGACTTAAATTTTTATTCACTTTTCTAACTAAACCAACCAGCGACTAATTATTGTTGAAATAAATTTAATTTAGAATAAATCTATTTGTACAATATTTTTTCACAACATTGTTGTAGGTGGCAAAAAAGTGTTGGTTGGAAGCTAAATTATTTTGTAAACTATACTGTTAGAATTTAGGTGTAATCCGAATTTCTTGTTGAAGTAATTGAAAAATTCTAATTGAAGTGCACGTTATGAAGAATTCAAATTTGAAATATTATTGGAGTCCTATGTTATGTTGAAATTCTATTTTGGAAGCCCATTGGGAGTTGAAATTTATTTTGGACTCAATTTTATGGTATCCTATTTCATCAACAACTCTACAAGGTGGGTTGGACATCCCCTACTTATTCCATATAAATATTAGGCTCTTTTATACAATTTTATGGTGTGAAAAAATATATTACTAGAATTATAAAATCTATTGTAATTTTCTCTCTTCTCCATTATTAATGAGTCAATAAAATTTCTTAATTCTTCTACCATATTCTTATCTTCTTTATTCTTTTACTTGATCAAATATTTTATTATTATTTGCCGTATAACTTCAACATCTCAATCTGTTGGTTTGTTCCATAACAATTTGTATTAGAGTAATTCTGATATCTTGTTTGTTTTGCAACAATTAGTATTAGTGGGCCAGGTTCAGCAGTTCCGCAAGAGTGCAATATTTGATTTGTTCGAGATTTTTTTTTATTCGTGATGACTTCTATGAAGTATGACATTCCGCTTTTAGATTGGAGTACCAGATTTTCGCTATGGTAGGTTAAGATACGTGCAGTACTAGCACAATTGGATTTGGATGATGTGTTGTTGGGAATTAAAAAGATGTCCGCAACTTTGACCGCGAAGGAGAAATTACGGAAGGATAAGAAGGTAGTTTCTCACATTCATCTTCATCTATCACGTACTATTCTTCAGGACGTTTTGAAAGAGAATTCAGCAGCTGCGGTATGGTTGAGGTTGGAGCAATTGTGCATGACTAAAAGTCTGACAAGCAAGTTGAACTTCAAGCAGCGTTTATATTCTCATCGAATGGCAGAAGGAGGATCATTGGAAGATCACCTGACTGTATTTAAGGAGATCACCACTGATTTGGAAACTTTAGAAGTAAAGTATGATGAAGAAGATTTGCCCTTGATCCTATTGTGTTCGTTGCTCACTTCGTTTTCTTCATTTAGAGACACGATTTTGTATAGTCGTGATACTTTCACCATAGAGGAAATGTATGATGCTTTGTATTCAATGAAGCATCTGGTTTTTGAGGCCAAAGATGGAGAAGGCCTGCTTGCTCATGGTACTTCTAGAAGAGGCATATCGAAATCTAAGTTCAGTAATCAAATTTGTAACTACTGCAAGAAGAATGGACACTTAAAAAAATATTGTTACAAATTGCAGAATAAAGAAATGATGGCTACAAGTAGATATTCAGATACTTCAGGCGAAGCAGACCTCGTGGAGAACGTTGTAAATGATGGGGAACTCTTATCTATTTCTGAGATTGAGTTTAAACCGGAAGATGATTGGATCCTTGATTCAGCATGTGTGTTTCATATGTGTCCTAATAAGGACTTATTTGCTACCTACGAAACTGTTTCCAAAGGTGTCGTGGTCATGAGAAACAACGTATATTGTCGGGTTGCTAGAATTGGCACAGTCAGATTGGAGTTTTTGGATGAGACAATTAGAACACTTGGTTAGGTTCGACATGTTCCAGATTTGAAGAAAAATCTCATCTCGTTGTCTATCCTTGATTCAAAAGGTTATGAGTTTTTTGGAGGAGGTAGAACTTTGAAGGTTTGTAAGGGTGCCCAAATTGTATTGGAGGGACATAAAAGGTGTCGGCTATACATCTTGCAGGATCGTGCAGAATTTAGAAGAGTAAATCAGCACAAGTTCATGACTGTGGTGGACATTCAGTTTGGTACAATACCTTTAGGAGCTCATAAATGGTAGGATTTGAAGAATACAGTTCAGTGGAGTTCAGGAAATATGGATAATGCTGCTTTGCCACCATTACATGCGGTGCCATTGTATTCAATTGTTAGGGACGAACCCAATGGAAAATGATATGTGGATACAGATTTTGTTGAGCACGCTTTAAGTAGAGCAGAAGGTGTACAATCTAGCAAAGAGCTTTGTGTCAAAGAATTTGATATTGATTCTACTTTGGGGTGTGTTACAGCCTATTTTGGTAAATTATAAAATTATTATGATTTTTTGGAATCTGAGATAATTATGCAGAGTAGTGCTTGGATTCATTGGAAGGGGTAGAATATTTTATGTTTGGTTGGAGAAATTAATTTTTTGGTTATTATTGAAGAAGTCAATTCATTCCTTGGTGGAATTCGTGTCCGGTGGAGATTGTTAGAATTTGGGTGTGATCCGAATTCCTTGTTGAACTAATTGAAAAATTATAATTGAAGTGAACGTAATGAAAAATTCAAATTTGAAATATTATTGGAGTCATATGTCATGTCGAAATTCTATTTTGAAAGCCCAATGTGAGTTGGAATTTATTTTGGACTCAATTTTATGGTATCTTACTTCATCAACTCTACTTGCTGGGTTTGGATATCCCATACTTATTTCCTATAAATATTAGGCTTTTCTATACAATTTTATGGTGTGAGAAAATAGATTACTAGAATTATAAGATCCATTGTAATTTTCCATTATTCACGATTCAATGAAATCTCTTAATTTCTCTGTCATATTCTTATCTTCTTTATTCTTTTGCTTAATCAAATATTTCATTATTATTTGCCATATAACTTCAACATCTCAATCCGATGGTTTGTTCCACAACAATTGGCATCTGAGCAATTTTAATATCTTGTTTGTTTTGCAACATGTACAATGACAACATATCACGTGGCATGTTGTTAACAACATTGTTAACCATGCATGATTATTTACTTTGTGGCAGCGACGGGTAAAGTTCGGCATGGATTCCTACTTGTATATTAATAAAAAACGATACAAGAGGAAAGATAACATAAAATCTTGGAGCTCGAAACATCAAGAAGAAAATACGAGCAACTTTTAAGCATAAATTAGGAGGTACTACCGATGTCCTTTACGAAAGAAGAGATCGATAGTTGGCTATGAGCCAATGACTTCCAACTTGTTGCTAGATGAATATATTTTGTGATGTCATGCTGTAAATGAATCCCATTTTGAAAATTAGGTATACGGTCCAACTCAAACAGGGCGATTTAGATAACGTGGGGTACTTCGGACAAATAAGGAGGGATTAATCATACATATTTCTTGTTTTGAAATGAGTGCTAGTGGAAATCATCGTAAAGAAGTTAGGTACATATCAAAAGAAAGTGCAGTATTTTGCTATATGATATGAAAGATTATTGTGTTTCCTTGTATATATTATGATTTTCTCGCAAAACATAAAATTTCGAAGCTCGAGCAATGAGAATAAATTACAACTATTTTCTAACATCCCGGTTTGAAGTTTAAGATTCTCTATATGCTTAGGAAGTCAGATTTGAGTTCATTGTCTTTAGTTTGACTTGTAGAGTTTAAGCCCCTCTTTTCCGGTCAATGACCTTTAACGACTAAGAATTCATAACTAAACTTCATCCGCTTCAAAAATAAAAAAATTAGTCCTTATTTTGTACTGATTCTTTAAACCTTATTTTCCCTCAAATTTATTTTTAATCGCTCATTCTTTTATTAAAATAACTTTGTACGCAGAATCATAATTTCATGGAACCCGTAAATTTTATTAACTTTTCAATGTACATTTCATCATCTTTTATCAAAATCTACTAAAAAGATAATTTTTAGCAAATCGAACAGAGGCTAGAGTTTGACAAAAATTAATTCCTGAAAGTAAGTTACTATAAT